CACATTAATGGAAATTTTGAGCTAATTATCCATGTCACTACTATTAGAAAAATGAAAACTAACCCCCGTGGGCAAGTCAACAGCTCTGGGTCTATATTAGATCAATATCTTGAGAATATATTATGATCCAAAGTAGGAAAAAAATATTATTTACAATATTTATTCATATTGCCACATAACTTTATATGAAAACCATTTTAAAACACATAGAATGAATGTTCTGAGCTCATTATCCCTTATTACTATGCCTATTACTTGCCTACTGTTACGCAAAATACATATTTGTTACGCGAAATCTCCTAACAATGACCTCTAGTACGCAAATACAAATTTAACCCGTCGCGTTACGCATTCCATATCATTTTTGTCCCTTTCTAGGCAAGCTTACGAGCAGTCACAGGAGTCACACTAAGCCATCCTATGGGGGTTGGGGACAGAAAAGGTGGGATGAACACATTGTGCCCAGATCTTATGTTGATTGGTCTTGATAGCAATTAGATCTACATTTAGCCTAGAAATGAAGATCACGAGAGTGGTGGAGTGGCAGGTTGGTACCATTAGTTTGCAGCTACACCAACGTGACTAGGTTCATTAGTTTTGGAGCTTAAACAAAGTCGAATGCAAAAAAAGAATCCCTAATTTTTAATAAAAAAAGATATCGAAGCGCTATCGATTCAAAACACATTCTAGATCTATGATCTAGATTACTTATTATACAGGAATAGATCTTGAGTCTAGACTACAACCTTATGAGTCTAGCTAGACATCAATTATCAGGCAGGTTTGCTACGACCCAGAACATAAATCTAAAAAAAATAGAGCCTTTTTAATTCCAGATGTTTAGCAAAGGGAAAATTTTCAATATGTTTTAAGCAATTAAAAACATATACTGGAGAAAAAGACGAAAAAAATAAATGGCTGGGTAAAATCAACAATGGGAGCGTCGTTACAGAGTCAAAGAGTTAATAAGGGCTGCTCACATGTTCAGCTAGCGTCTTGCTAAGACAACTATTCAGTACCCTCAGTGCTGTCTGTACTACAACTGAAACTGTTTTAAGAAACGGTGCCAAGTTTCCATGACAGGAATGGTTCTAAAGTGGATAATTTTTCAGGCACTTGGGACTCAAACAGTAGCGTGTTTGAAAGAGTCTGTTAACTACAGGTGCATATAGTGACATGTTTTTGAACTTTGTCATGGTAGGGATAAAGTGCAACAAAATAGTCGAAGAACATAACATGTTGTTTTTTTTAAACATAGAAGGTCCTTAACATTGTACATTGGCACTCACTGAAAGAAAAAACTTCAGCAAAAAGAATCGTAATCAAGATTCGCTGTATGGAACAAGATAAATGCAACTTATCTGCTTAGGGCAAATGGTAGTGCTAGCTCATTTTACCCACTTAATATCTCAGCACTTCTAGATGCTTGTGCAAAACTTAATCTGTTTCAATACTTTTCCTTTCAGATGAAGCGGCCATTTGATCAAAATAAATTGTATGCTAGTGAAATTTTGGCTATTTTATTGCAAGATTCTGAAGGTTTGTAATGTTAGTTAAAATAAAAAATTATGAAAGACTAAAGTTTAATTTGAGTGATTTTAATTTGCCTTGTTCTTCATTAATTTTTATATGAACAATAAAAACACAATTTTCATTCAAATATACTTGACATAAAATAAAGTTTAATATATTCTTTGTATGTTGAAAGGGTTTTATAAATTGATATTACAATTTATTTTTTTTTCAGAAAATAGACAGTTACTTGGAGAGTTAGATGGTATAGATATATTGCTACAACAATTAGCTGTAAGTCATTGTTCAATCACAATGGGGTTTTTGTTTCAAAATTTACTTTATTTAAAAAAAAAGGTTAAGTGTCTCTGAGAACATCAAAACTTTTTTAAAAATCTAAATATATTTTTAGAATATATGTGTTTTCTCTGACTGTCCATCAACCATTCTGTTTGTAAATATGTAAACATTAATTTCTTTACTATAGTCAGTTCTGTTTTAATTAGCTTACCTACATAAATAATGCTGAATTTTTCAAGGCTATTTGGTTATAAAGTAATATACTACATAAAAATAATATTTTAACTATGTAAGGAGAATATTATCCATAGGATTAATTACTGCCCTGATGCCATCAATATAAGAAAATCAGATTTACTTTCGAAAACTAAAATGTAGTATAAATTTGTGTGTGTTTATGTATCAGAGTTTTAAGAAACATGATCCTGGAAGTAAAGATGAGGTAGAGCTAATGGAGAACCTCTTCAATTCCATGTGTTCAGCTTTAGCATTTCCTGCTAACAGGTCAAGGTTTCTCAGGGGAGAAGGTTTACAACTGATGAATCTCATGTTAAGGTAATAAGAAATCAAAGAAATTTTGAAATATAAAAAAATACATTTCTAAATTCTTGCTTCTTTTTCTTTGACAGTTGCTTCATTTGCCAAATGCCTGAATTTATTATCCCCCAAAATATCTATGTATCTATTAAATTTATTTCCAGGGAAAAAAAACTGTCTCGTAACAGTGCTATTAAAGTTCTAAATCATGCCATGACTGGAATAGAGGGTCAAGAAAATTGCCAAAAATTTGTTGAAATTCTAGGTCTACGCAGTATATTTCCTTTATTTATGAAAACTCCAAAACAGACCAAGACAGGACCTGCGCCCGATGAGCTAGAAGGTATCATTTGATTATAATTGTTACCCTTGTTTGTTTTTCTTCTAAATTTTCTGTAGTGATTATTGGACAGTATGTGAGAGTGCATGCTTTAATTAACATACTTTATAGGATATATCCTATTATTTTTTAAAATAATTATAAATAATTGTAGTAATATTTTGAAATTTTAATTATTAATGTAACAACAAGAAATAAAGGAATGTGTGTTACACAAAATCATCCTATTGGTCCATTGTTTGATTCAGATGCAAAAAAGGCAACTTTCAATGTATTTAGCTCATGGGGATGGAATAGGATTACAATTGTTTTTTGAGATATCAGTGTGAAAAACAACCACACAAAACTAGTAGCAATCTTTCCCCTCTTTTAATGGCTGTTAAAAAAAGAATTTAGCAGACCTTTTATTATTGTTACTTATAGGGCTTTTGTGGATGCTCCTGCATGTGATAGCTTTTTGTTGTTGTTTTTTAATTGATAGATTTCCATTTCTTTTAACAGAACACATTTGTTCAATTATTGCATCAATGTTGAGAAACTGTCAAGGAACTCCTAGACAAAGGCTTCTTATTAAGTTTACAGAAAATGATCATGAAAAGGTGATAGAGCCTTATTTTATAGAAAATGAATTTATGGGAAAATTCACTAATAGTTTTGTAATGAATAATTAAATTTAAAAACAACAAAAAACTACTGAATTAAAAAAAAATATTTTTTTTTTGTTTTATTCTGGCTTTCGGTTTTTAAAATAACATAGTCATGTAGTTTTTTTATATCTACACAAGTTAGTGTAGCAGGAATTCTCTTTTTTTTTTTTTTTTTTTCCATATCACTACTTTTAATTAATTGTTGCTGTTGTTACTATCTGACGTTTTAGTTTTCTCTTGTTTAAAATTTACTGTTCTAGGTTGAAAGATTACTTGAATTACATTTCAAATATTTGGACAAGGTTAGACAGTGTGATGATCAAATTGAAAGAGAAAAAATGGTCAGTATACTAATTATAATGGATAATAGGTTGTTTTTTTTTCTTAAACCTTTTTTTTTTTTTTTAAATCTATTAACACAATAAATTTATGTAATCGGTGATAAAACTAGTTTTTGAAAATATGTCAAGAAATGGTACTCCTAAAACTTGCAGAACTAATGAAAACTTCTCTTGGGCTATCCTCAGCTTTACCTTAAACTCTTGATTGATGAATGAAAAGTCATTTTATCACAATATATCAGCATCCTCAAATTACGATTAAAGCCACAATTTTAATTTATAATCCAAATCATACAGAATAGATTCTAACTTCAGAAAAAAATATTTTTTAAAAAGATGTCATTGAAGCAAATATTTAGTTAGATCAGCAAAGCCATCCTGTTTTAGTTTTTATAGTAGATAAGTTGTGTTATGTTTATAAAGTACTTTGTTCACATGGAGAATGTTGAAAGCAATTTAATGGAACTTGAAAACTAGAAGACTCAGAAAGATTTTGAAATAGTCGAATCCTGTTAATCTGACCAGCTGCTTATTTAGATTGAATCCTTAACTACCAAAACAAATCCTATAATACAATTAATTCCAGTCAATCAGACCAGCCAGTTATTAGGAACCAAATGATCGCATCCTGATGTGATCTGATTAACCAATCATCTGTTAAGAGACTTTTTTTTTTAAGAGCTCATCTTATCTTCTACAGAATGAAAAGATAGTTGTAGGTTGTTTTTTCTATGTTTTTGTTTTTTGTTTACCATATATATACCAATAAACTATATAAAGATTTGCTTCAATATATGAAAATCTTCCATAATCCTAATTGTAATTTTGTATGACTTAAATGTCTGAGAATTTCGCTAATCTAATATAGCTTAATAATTCAAATTGTGGATGAGGACTAATGGTGAAGAGTTTCTTTTATGTGCCATTGAAGAGCTACAAAAAAAAAATTACCTTTCTGAGAAACAAAAAACAAAAAGAGGGATAGAGGGCATATATATATTTTTTTGTATAGACCAGAACAAGTAGGCTTTACACAGACACATTGAAATTTCCATAGAACTTCTTCAGATTTTTTGTTGTATTCTTAATTTTCCCATATATTTTTATTTCTAATGTTTATTAAGTAACTTAAACATATTTTACATAATTCCTTCTAGCATCAATAAAATATTCTCAGTTTGTAAAATAAATCTACTTTTCCATTAATTAGCGATTAAAACAGCATGGTGAAGAGTTGAATGAAGACATGGAAGATGAGTTTTACTTAAAACGTTTAGATTCTGGTCTATTTACATTACAACTTATTGATTACATCATGCTCGAGACATGTGCAAGTGGAGCCTCATCGGTATATCTTTACTTTTCCTTTTTTCTTTGTTGAAAATAAAATAGATACGTTTTTTTTTTTAAAGTAGTTAAGTTCCCCTTTCAGACCTTGTGATCTATTGGGCAGATGATGTTAAGTTTAAGTTTCTATGGTCCAATATTATTGTAACCTAATAGAAATGTTTGTAACCCACTTCCAATGTATTGAACTCACATTTTTATGTATTGGTTGTATTTCATATATTATAAAGATTCATTCCTTCACCATCCTTTTTAATTGCTAAAATTATTTGTTTCAGATTCGTGCAAGAGTAATGCAGATTTTAAATATGAGAGGTGGCTCAGTCAAAGTTATTAGGGGCATCATGAGAGGTATAAATTTAACTGAAAATATTTGTTTTCTTTCCCTACTCACATGGTTTCAAAATGAAATACTTATAAATTTGTTGATTTTTCCAGAGTATGCTGGGAACATCGGAGATGCTAAGGATTCTGTGGCAAAAGAAGCAGAGAAAGAAAGAATTCTTGCTCTTGTAGACAAATTTTGAAATTGATATTGTATTATATGTAAATATTGCCAATAAATGTTATACAGTTGCAAACTTTAAGTGCATCATTGTTATTCACACAATCTAAAGTAGTGTAAAAAAGACAAGTTTGTACTGTTAAATCAACACTCTGGCTGGCTAAAGGGATGAACTCCTTAATACTGTGAAGATATGAAAATTTATGAAAGCTGAGCTGGTTTGTTCATATTGTAAGATATGACTTATTGACAAAAAAGTCATTCTTCAAGGTAAAGTGGAGGGAGCCAAAAGAAAAGCTGGTCTGTCTTGATATCCTGCTAGTAGGAGCTGCTGATTGGGAATAGTTGAGGAATTTGGTTACAGGAACTGTCACAGCACTCCTAGATGAGATAAAAGTTAAGGGACAGATGAGGATGATGAATTAAAAAACATTGGCACACATTTTTAAAATATTACAAGTGGTTAATTGAATTGGAGATATTTATATATATATAATATGCAGACTCACAATAACTAATACATAAATTTTCCATTTTGCATTTTTCTTAAATACAATAACCATGGCCTTGATCTGTTCTCATGGTCTGAATTTGCAGGGTTATACATATGGTAATTAAACAAATATGAACATGAAAAAAACAAAAAAACGATAATTTTTTTTTTTTAATTTGCAAAACTCCCTAAAAATATTACTTGATGCAAAGATTAATTATTTTATATACATTACTTATATGTTAGTTTTAAGCAATCATTTTATATAATATTTAAAGTAAAAGCAACTATGTGCTAAATTTGCCAAAGCAATAAGATTATTATTTACAATAGCCTTTCCTTTTAAAAGAATTTAGTATTCTTTGACACAAACCATCAAGATGTAAACAACATCATGAAAATGTTTGTTTAGAGCTGTGATGTCAATATCAAAGAAAACATCTGTCTTGAACACAAATGACAGAGAGCACATTCACCCATCCAGTTAACCCACAACTACTGTGGTGTCTGTAATGTATTCATAGATAGGCACCTCCAAGTTCAATGGTGCAGGGCCTTTTCTAATTCTTCCTGATCCATCATAGTGAGATCCATGACATGGACAAAAGTAGCCACCAGGGTAGTCACCTGTATTTGCTATTGGAATACAACCTGCATAAAAGTAATACAACAGTGAATAGTCACTATTTACATGATTAACAACACTGAAAACTGTTTTTTTATATTATCATTACTAGAGGATAGTTATTGTTTTTTGAAGACGGTCTTAAATCTAAATCATTCATAATTTCCAATGTATGGAGTATAGAAATGCAATTTTATTTTATGCACAATAAAAATAATTTTTTCCTTCAACTCAACTAAAAATAAATGTGGGACAATACAATGGGAATGCCTTTATATAAAAAAAAAATTATAATTCAGTCATAATAGGTGGTTAAAATTAGAGACTTCAAACTGCAACTTTCTGTTTCATATAACAAATTTATTTTTCCTATGCCCTCTGTTCATAAATAATAATTCAGTAAAACTTAAAATGCTGTAACTAACCTAAATGAGTACAAACTCCAACAAGGATGAGAAATTTAGGATTGATTGCTCTCTCAGCATCCGTCTGAGGATCTCTTAGTTGTGAAATGTCAACAGCTTGTTCTTTTTCTATTTCCTCATCAGTTCTGTGCTTCACAAACAATGGTTTTCCTCTCCATGATACTGTCACATTTCGACCTTCAGGAATATCATCAAGCTTGATTTCTACTTTAGAAATGGCAAGAGCATCAGCTGCAAAGCTCAAATTTGAAATTGTCCCGCGAATAATTGCTTTTGCGCTGTAAACACATGCTACTGCTCCGGCTGTAAAAAAAAAATTCAAAAACAGATGTATGCAAATGTTTATAAACTTATTGTAAGATTTTGTGAAAGTTTACTTGCAACAGTGAATCAATAAATACCAGTAATAGCTGTTTTGATTGCACTGTACTTTCATTGACAATAGATTGTTATTAACTGGCATATAAGAATTGCCAAATGCTGACCTCTCAATGACAGTTAATGCATACTGATATTCATCAGCATTGAGAATAAAAGTTCTGTGGACTCAGTGGTGTGGTGACTGAGTGGTATATCACTTGGCTTCTGAACCAAAGAGGTCTCATGTTTGAATCCTGGGATTTTGAATTTCTGGATTTTTTATCCCATGATTCCATTCTAATAGTACCTGTTTAATCAAATGTTGGCCAATTCTTAAAAATAGGAAATAACTTACCACCTAGTAATAAGTATGAAGTCAGTTTACGTTCAATCTCTGAGTCAACTGTTCTGGCATTAGGTGGCTTTGTCTGATCACGTCTGTACTCTGAAAAATCTGGTACTTTTAGATCAGTGTGAGAAAAGCGAGTCTGTGTGAGCCCTAAGGATAATCACACAAAAAAAAATAATATAAAAAAAAACTAATTAATGGTGCAACTAAGTGAAATGTAAAGACCAAAACTATGAAAATCTACAAAAAGAAAACTAATACTAATAATTTAATGAAAAATTATATATTACCCAGCACTTTTTTAATGAAAATAATCACATTCATCATTATATCATGATTACATGTTATATTGGAATGAACAGTTGTAAAAGTATAACATAAACTGTGTAAAGTAGAGTACATTTGTATGTTTAAAATTAGTATACTCAGTTATAAATGAAAAAAAAAAACTACAAAGACAACTGAAAAATAGACCAAGAAAAAAAGAATGCAATATCAAAACTTAAATACCACATATTTATTGTTTTGAATTCTTTTTATTTTTATTTATTATTTTTACTTTAGTGCTAAATTAAGACATTAAAAAAAAAAAATAGTTATAGGCACTATGGAAAAGTAATAGGAGACTATCTCTGCTGAGGATTTGGACTATGCCAAGCAGAGGCTAATAAACGATGGCAAGCATTTAAATTATTTGCTTTTATGTAATAAATATAAACTACAAGGTAACTAGTTTATAGCTATCAGTAACAATACGCAGTCTAAAATATCGATCTACTTGACCTTGGCTACAACAAATGAAATATACAACTAGCAACTACAGCTATCATGCCTAGGTATCCAGGGGTAGATGATCTAGTAAGCAGATCTAGAATATCTACACTAGATATTAATAGACTTTATTTGGAAAGTGGCCTACATTTTAGATATAAACATCTAACTGTAACATATCTAAGTGTACATCTAGGCTATACCTCAGCACCTCAGTTTGCTGCGATGTAATCTCAATTGCGGACATGTGAGGGAAAGGCTATCTGGGAGAAGGTTTCAGTGCTGCTATTAGGCATGCAGCAAACAAGACTTAGCTCAAATACCTTGTGGCAGGATTCAAGCTTGGTGTATCCGTGTATGTATCATGCATGTTAATTAGAGACATAAACTCTCATAGATTTCCCTGACTGATTCTGGTAATCCAATCCATGCTCAAATGGTACTAGGAAAGAAGGAGGGCTTGTACGAATTTGTTTTAGCATATAGAATATGTGCCTTTACCTTTGTGTCTTTCTGAGTAATTTTACAAAGCTTATATCAACTCTAGGGCTGGATTTAAGGGAGGGTAGGCGGGGCTACTGCCCAGGGGACTCGACAAGAAAGCGGTCCCCACAAGAGAAAAAATTCCATATTTGAAATGGTCAGAAACTTCATGTTTTATTTTTAAATTTTTATCTAAAATACTTAAAATCTTACAGTTGGCAACATTGTTGCAACACTGCTACTTTAATTTCTAGAAGGTTATTCTGTCCTGAAATGTGATTAGTTAGTGATTTTAGTATTATTAGATCTACTATTTATAAGTAGGCCTATTACTCTAGTCAAATGTGCATATTTATTTGTTAGACTAGATTTTCTATATTTATTTAGCTACAAATTATATGTTAAGCAAACTGAACCTGCCAAAGATGTGAAAACGTTGGTGTTGTTCTTGGCAACTTGTTTTTGAAGAGAAAAACACGATAAACTTAAAGGCGGCCTATTAACGATTGGTTTGAAAGCTGACAAATCAAAGCCATGAGAAGTAAAGTTTCCCCTTGATGCAACCTGGACAACTGATTGGACAAAAGCACTTTTTGGTAGAGAGATCATGTTCGATTTTGTAACTACGCAGTAGTCAGTGTTCAAACGTAAATAATGTTGAAGAAGAGTCGGTTTTATTTGAGTGGCCAGCGTTTAGTTTGGATTGTAAGCCAAATTTTTAAATCAGATAGATCTATTTACTTGATCAAGATATCTAAATTTCGTTTGAATTTAGTTTGTTTATATTATAAGACATGACTCACTATCAAAAGTCATTCTCCAAGGTACTGTGGATAGAGCACGAAAAAGAAAGTGTCGTGTCGTCCAAAAAATTAAAAAAGCTGGCTGGATAACATAAAAGAATGATGCCCTGCTAAGAACAGCTGCTGTGATCGGGAATAGCAGAGGGATTTGGTTTACTCCATGGAACTTCCATGGTTACTCGAACTGTCACGCAGATCCCCTAGGCTACGACAAAAGTCAAGGAACATATGAGAGATGATGATATTCGGTACTTCTTTTTTTTTTTTTGTGACGGTACGCACGGTACGAGGTACCGGCACCTTTTTCAAAGTGGGGAAAAATTATATTTTTCTTTTATTTAACCATGTTTTAACGTTTATTATTCATTTATTAGTAGTTAAAAATTAGGCGATTCATCACTGAGTACTGGCACCTTTTTCAGTGTGGGGAAAAATTATTACTTTTCTTATATTTTAACCATATTTATTTACAAAACAAAAGCACTGATGGTATTTATAAATAAAAGTTAGGCCTATATTTAAATGCTTTTTAAAGTCTGTTCAAGTTTATTTCATTAAGAATTAAATATCGGTTAGTTGTACTAGCTATTTGGGACTACAATCCAACGACAGTGCAATAACTGGTAGGTTTTAAACAGATGCGGCACACAGAGCTACAACCTGGTAGTATGGCACATCAGTTGCGTGGATAGAGGAAACTGCTGTGAGGGCGACATATTTCCGGCCATAAATAATGCCCAAGCTTTCATCTCGTTTATCCATTAAAGCCTTGATTAAATATAACTCGATGGCAATCCATTTCTCTAAAGAAGCGAAATATCAGTAGTTTACCATTCGAGCAAACATAGGAACTTTACGTTCCACGCACAACATTTTATTTAGATAGTAGGCCTAGGACTACCTTGTCAGCTTAAAGTTTGAACAAATAGAAAAGTTCATCATTTAAGCAGCGTTATCACAAGCAGTGATAGCTAAGAAGATTCCTTGGAATAGCATATATAACTAGATGATATGACGATATCATATCACAGAGAAATCTTTTACCGCACCTCCCCCAAGCGAAGTGGTGCCCGAACATCGTATGACATTTGGGGAAGATGTAGGCCTACTATAAGACGAAACACGTTCCCCATTAGGCTTAACAGCTATAACATATGGGGGACAAAAAAAAAGAGGATAAAGAAAACAGGGCCTTCTACGTCGCTCGTACCTTGTTAGGAAACATAAAATCTGTAGACACAGGCTGAGAAGATGTGAGCGATCTCTGAGGGGAGAGCTTGCTGCCGTATGCGCCGAAAGGCGACGGTGGATATATGTCTTTAGTTTAAGTTGCAATAAAAATTGCTCTCGTTGAGATTAATGGAGAGTCTATTACCATTTTGTCCACATATGGTGTTATCTGTTAAAACGATTTTTAAAACTTAATCAATATGCCCAAGAGTGCAAATGGCGGAAATGCAGATGTTCCTGAAGGAGGGTGTCAAAGAACTTGTTGTTATAATGAAGATTGTGTGGTTCAAACAAAATATATGAAGAACTGATTGAAGAAAAAATATGCTGTTGCAGTAGATGAGCAGACAAGTGAGTGAAAGCCCGGACTTAGTCACACAAATTAGCCAAAATTCTGCAGGGCGAAGGGCAAATGATCCCGCCCCCAAAATGAAGGAAATGCCCCCCGTTTGAAGGACGTCTGGTAAACCTAGAAAAGGGGAGGTGTAGATTTAGATGTTCAGAATAAAATTGTCTGGCTGCTTTAAAAAAAAAAAAAGCCAAAAGGAGCCGTAGAAGATAATTCTTGCTCCCAAACTGTGTTCATACAAAAGCTCACGACAAAGACATTGCACCGTAATGATTGTATATATTTAACATTTTTGGTTTCTTGGTCAATTTGATATTTTCTCAAAATCTTTTTTCACATCACATTGTCTTGATTTAGGTTGCTGGTTATATATAGATCTTGTTTATCCCAAGTACCTTACGTTAATTCTTGCTCCCCCGTAAAGGTGATTTTGACAACATGCGTCAGAATTTTTGGATTTTGTAAGACTGCTTGAAGGTGTAAACTCTTGACTGGCAGCTGCCTAAGCATTATCACAAGCCATTGCAATCCGGCATATATAGAGCTTTGAGCTAAATATAGCGCTTTTCCCCGTTTTCTAAGATAAAAGAGCTAACATAACACAGACAGTAACTGAGTAATACAGTACGAATATTCATTTAGAAAGTAGACATCTATCATCTAGATCTTTGTCTATCTTAGATTTTATAGACTCTAGGTCTACATAGATATAGATCGACCTAAATCGATTTCAAATCTAGATCTTATTAAATAGACTCTGTACTTATACTGCACCTGCATTAATCGAATTTACTTAAACGCCAAACGGCCTTGTTTGGGGCAGTTGGGCCTGGCCCTGGGGCAGTGACAGTGAGTTGGCTGACTAAGTCACCACTGACTAAGTGAGTTGGGGACACTTGCTGACTTGGCTTAGTACTTGCCTACTTCAGTACTTGGTGACATAGCATACTCATGTCGAGCCATGTATTGTACACTGTACTCAGTTACTTACTACTATAACTTAGATCTACTGGACTAAATCTATACTATATCTATACTTCTATAGTTAATGACTATAGTTACGTCTAATAATAATCATTATAATGATTTATCTTTATAGAAAAGACTAACACTTCAGTAACACTAAAGTATAGATCTGGGCTATTCAGATGATTCAATTCTACTTCAGTACTTAGACTTCTATCTAGGTAGATCTACACTTCTAGTCTACAGATAGATCTACAGAGTACAGACTAAACTTTAAACTAATTGTAAAAAAATAAAATAATAATGAAGAAAAGGCAAAGTAGATATTTAGTACAGCTGTTACTCTGTTTACTAATGAACGTCTTAAGTGTTTTCACGTCTCTCTCCGATGTTACATACGATGTATTTGATAAACAACCTATTGGATTAATAGCTGCATTTGGTGACTTGGATGCTGACAAAGCAACAGATATTTTTGTTATTTCTAACAATGGTATGTTTAACTTACTATGTAGATCAAATTTAGATCTAGTATGTCACTGTTAAGTGTCTGTTAAGACAGTTAAGTAAGTTAAGTGTTACTTTATGAATATGTAATGTACACTTCGACTTAAGACTATATATAATACTAGTCGACCCGCGGCTTAGCATACGCCGCTATTTTGCAGGGCCAGCCTTAGGCGCCTGCAACCTATGCGACTGCAGTGGGCCCCGCATTTTCATAGGACCTGCTCTAATTCAAGGTGTATAAATTATTAAATTAAACCATATTATTACTTAAAAGAAATTTCCCGCACCCTCCTGTCGATTTACCAGGAGCTCATGGAAATCTCCAGAAATCGCAAAATATACAAAAAAAAAGTCCTTAAAATATATGGAAATATCTAGACAAAAATTGTCATTTTAGGGTGTCATTCATTATGGAAAATGCCCATCTTACGCGCGACATTATGCATCAGCCTTAATTGTGTCACCTGGTGAAAGAAGTTTTTCGCACCTCAAACCAATGAAGAATTACTTGAGGTCAACAGTGCTCAAGGATAGATTGAAACATTTGGTAATTCTTGCTATTGAGTGTGATCTGTGTATGAAACATAATTATTGTGATATACTCTATGACTTTGCTACACGCAAGGTTCGTAAAGTAATTCTGTACATAATTAAGAATGGATAAAATGCATATATAGACGAATTTACTTTCTAATACAAACTCTTAAATTTCACTTATTATCCGCTTCCCTACCCAGACTTGGCCCTGTGAAATCCGTTTCGCATAGGACCCTTCAGTGGTTAAGTCCAGCCCTGCTATTTAAATATATACATAGTAGATTACTTAATCTCTTTTTTGTGACTTCTTGGTCAAAATGGTTAAGTCCGGCGCTGCTATTTTGTGTTTGTAAAAATGTCAGTTTGTAAAATCTTTTACATTTCGGATGTTCCTTCAGAGTTGAAGATAGTTTACTTCCTAGTCCAAACCTACCGCAGGACAAAGGGTGATGGTAGCGGGCAGGGTTTGATAAATTTAAACGACAGTCTAGCGTGCAGGCAGCCATCCGTAGTGTAAACACTACTCTTGTGTTTTCTCGTGGACTATCCGCAGAAATAAGAGAGTGATCTTTCCTTTACTTCTTCTCATTTAAACTGTTGAGGGAAGAAGAGAATTAATAAAGATTTAGAAATTAGATCAACTTTAATTCTAATAAAAAGTAATATGATTAAATTATCTAGATCTAATTAATTATAATCTTAGTATTATTAATAATGTTAATTATTTATATAATTAAATTTAAATTATTGTACATCTAGATAATCTAAAAGAAACTAATCCTATGATGTATATTAAGCATACAGTTTTGATAAAGACTAATAAAATTAAGACTTCTAAAGGCTGTTTGATATCAGCCAGTCATAGAATCTAGTGCTTTACAAAAATATTTCAGTACAAACAAGAGATTTGAAGAGATGTTACATCGTAACAATTTAGACAAACCCCCTAATATTGTAAATCTTCTAATTCTCATTTAATTGAACACACTGGCACAATGATTTATTATAGAAAAATAATAACTTTTTTAGATTTCATAATAATACTTAAATTAATTTCAATTATTAGGCACCTAATACAATATTATATATATTATATATTAGATTAAATTTAGACCAAGAATGCCAGCATTAAAGTCAAAATGAAACAGATTGTCTTCTATGACTATGGCATGGCCGCTAAGGGAGATTAATTACATTTCTGCCTGTTGCAAAAAGAACAAAAAACATAAATAGGTTTGCTAGACATGCAAGTCTAAAGCATTTTGTTCAAATACAATTTTATATAGAAATAGTTGAGTTTGTAGCTTTGTTAATACTTCCACTCTTCTAAACATCCTGGCAAGAAGACTAAGATTTAGATAAGAGGAGTATTTTATGCAGTAAAACACTTCTCTAATCACGATCTTATTTTAAAGGGAAGTATACATTATATTTGTCCACAATCTTGCTGTTTTTCAGCTTACTTTAGACTTACTATTATTATATATTATTTTGCAAATGAACTGATATTCATTTAATGGCACTGCCAGGGTCGAGCTTTGTTAAAGGGAAACAAAATTCCTATTTGTCTCCTTAACAGTCACTGAGGAATTTTCTGGTGACGTGGCAGGTTTGCAACAGTACTGACCTCTGACAGGTAAAGAGCAATGTCTTAGGAATGTTAATGGCCTTGAAAGTTTCTGCGACATCAGTTTTGCTATCCCCATCTTATCTTATATAATACAGACGTTACTTCAAAAAAGAAGATGATTACGTCCTACGCGTCATGCATTTAGTCATGCATGACTTAATGACTTAAATGACTTAAATGACCAATGACTTAAATTCTGCCAAGTCACTGTTTTTTCTGGCTAGCTCAGGCAACCCATTCCATGCTCTAAAAGCACTAGGGAAGAAGGAGTATTTGTACAAATTTGTCCTAGCATAGGGGACAAGGAATGTGCCTTTATTTTTGTCTTTCAGAGTATTTTATTAGGTTTTGTTTTTGTATTTGAAAATTATGGTTCAGTGTTTTATGTATAATTGCTACTTTACTTTTGAGTCTTCTGTCCTGAAGGCTTTCTAAATTTAGTGATTTTACTAATGGTGTTACTCTAGTCAAATGTGAATATTCGTTTGTTATGAATCTCACTGCTCTATTTTGTGTTTGTTCCAGTTTCTTAATGTTTTCTTGAGTTGAGGGGTCCCAAACGGTGGATGCATATTCTATTATTGGCCTAACCAAGGTTAAATAACATTTTAGTTTTATGTTCTTATTTGATTTATAGAAATTTCTTTTAATAAACCCTAATGCTTTGTTGGATTTTTTTGTAGTTTCATCAATATGTGGATTCCATGACAGTTTTTCATTTATTATAACACCTAGGTATTTTGCGTTTTTAGTCTGTGTTACTGGTTTGCCATGAATAAGATAAGTGGAATTAATTTGTTTTAGTTTTTTTGTTACTCTTAACAACTGACATTTTTCTGGGTGGAAAGACATGCTCCAATTTGATACCCATTTCTGTAATTCATCTAATTCTCTTTGTAAAATATCTGTGTCTTGTGTTGTTTTTATTGTTCTATATATTATGCAATCATCTGCAAATAATCTGACTTTTGTTCCTGAAATAATGCAATTTGGTAAATCATTTATGTAAATTAAAAATAGTAGTGGACCCAAGACTGTTCCTTGAGGTACACCTGAGTTTACTGTTATTGGTGTTGATTTAGAGCCATTTATTATTACAGTTTGTTCTCTCCCTATCAGAAAATCTTTAATCCACTAATGCAGTGGACCATTAATGCCGAAATATTTTAATATTTTGTTTGTTTTTCACTTTTAGTTTTTCTTATATTATGATATAGTGGTACTGCAGTGTCATGATGGTTGCAGATTTTTTTTTTTTTTTTGTCAATAAACATTAAATCTGGGTAATTAAAATTTGCCGCCTTGTCACTCCAAATAGGTCTATCCAGGTATAGTAAGTAATCTGTTGACTTGAGAACTTCTTGTGGCAAGTATTTGTAATAAGGAGAAATATTATTCTTAATAAGGTCATGTGGCAAGACCAGGTGTTGATGGATTAGTTATGCATCTTGGTTATATTATGATTATTATTATTTGAAAAAATGTTATTTATTGTTTGTTTTTTTTAATAGGAAAATCAGTATATGTATTAAAAGCTGATATTGATATAAGGCGTGATGGTACAAAATTCATTCAGAAGACATTCATACCAGAAAGTAAAGATGATGATTCTCTGATTGTCAACATTGTACCGGGTGACTTTAACATGGATTCACAGTTGGATCTTTTAGTAATGCGAAAATCAGGAACAACAGAGAACTCTGTCAAAGTTGAAATTTATAATGGAAATAGTCATGATGGTAAGTGCCAATGTTTATGTCTTAGGTCAAATTAACTTTAAATTCTAATGAAGAATGAATGTCATATTTGCATTGATTTGAATTGAAAGGCTATTTCATTGCATTGATTTGAATTAAAAAGCTATTTCCATTGGTTACATAAAATGCTAGATTGAAATCAAGGAAAACAAATTAGGAGAGGGTAAGTAAAGATATCCATAGCAATCTTCATTGATAGAGAAGTATTTGCTTTTTATGCAGTTTGCATTGTCTCTCTTGATCATAGTTTTTCTCACAAAATTTTGTCATTTTTAGGGATAATAAAGTACACTCACACTTTGCTTTCTTATATATAAATTATTACGAATCTCACTATCCAGGCTCTCTGCAAACTGCACCATACACCACCAACGTAAAGAACTTGACAACTCAGGGCTCCAGAGTAACGTAACACTTTAATAGTTGAATAAATAACAGCCAATACTGTACAATTGGCAACACGTACACTGTACAAATATCTCTTTGATAACACCGTACCGCCTTATCAACTCTTGCACTGGCCTCTCCGTCCCGTTCCGGGCTTGCACTGGGTTCAACAGTTCATGACTGCCTTCACACACTGGGCTCGTTTTGTCGGACTCGATCACAGACCAAGATCAAGACGCCAGATGTCTCAACTGTACTTGACAGTACTCCGCACTGAACCGTCGTAATGCTCCGTACAGAGCCACTCCGTTGAACTGTGCTGTAGTCGACCGTGTT